GGGGGGAAAAAAAAAAAAAAAAAAAAAATCCTGCCGTGGTGTTTGTCACACCGCGAAGGGGTCTGGCCTCGCACCGCGCACGTTCCTCTCCTGTTCGCCCGTCGACTCGGGTGTGTCGAGCAGTAGAGAGCAGAGCATCCCCCCAGCATAAGCACCCCGACGAGCGAAGCCGTGTCGTACACGCACACAAGGAGGGAATCGAAGCAGGCAGGGCTGTTTCGTACACACCCAGGGCCGTCTAGTGCACGCCAATTGTTGGGGTGCTCGGAATTATTGTTGGGAATTGGTCCTTAGTACGATGGGAACAACAGCAGCCTTCTGGCTTCCCCGATTGCTCAGTTGCGGGGAGGGGAGGGGGAGAATGGGTGGCGGAGGGTCGGGATGGGCCTCCTCCTTCCCTGGCCTCCCTCCTCCCCTCTTTCCTCCACCCCCCCCCCCCCCCCCGGCTGTAATCCAGCACCTCTGTGTGGTGTTTCCTCCCTTGGAACAGGGCCTCAGCCCGCAGAAGGCTGGGCAGCATCCATATAGAAAAGCGGTACGGCGCCGTGCAAATGAAACGGGCACGATGGGGTCCCAGGGGAGGAGCGAAGGAGCAGAGGCGCGAGGAGCAAGAGGAGGAGGAGATGGGGGAGGAGGAGAAGGGGGAGGAAGGAGTAAAGAGGAGGAGGAACAGGAAGAGGAGGCGGAGGAGGAGGAGGAGGAGAAGGAGAGGACGAGAAGGAGGAGGCGGAGGAGGAGGAGGAGGAGGAGGAGTAGGCAGGCGGAGGAGGAGGAGGAGAGGAGGAGGAGGAGGAGGAGGAAGGAGGAGGAACGAATCGGAGGAGGGAGAGGAGCAGGAGCTTGAGGAGGAGGAGGAGGAGAACAAAATGAAACAGGAGGAGCAGGAGACAAACGAACAGCGAGGGGACGAAACGGGAAGAGGAGCGGTAACAGGGTGGGGGAGCAGGAGGACTGGGAGGCTAAAGAGGAGGATCGTGTGCAAAATTAACAATGGGCACGGGGCATGAGGCATAAACACGAGAACAAACAAACTGTCCAAAAGGGGGACGAGGAGGAGGTGGAAGCTGGAGGAGCAGGACGCTGACGAGAAGGATGAGGACGGGAATGGACAATGACGGCGACCGACGACGACGACGACGACGACAACGACGAGGCCGACGACGACGACGACGACGACGACGACGACGACGCCGACGCCGACGACGACGACGACGACGACGACGACGACGACGACGACGACGACGACGACGACGACGACGACGACGGGGCCGCGCCTCGGGCAGCAGCCACGTGTCCGGCGCGAAGCCGCGGAGGCGGGGGCAGAGCGGCGCGGCCTGGCGCAGAACGCGGCAGAAGGTGACCTTCTCGCACAGGTCGGTCATGCCTGGGGAGCCCCAGAGATGCCCTCGACCTCGCTGTCCGCCTCCTCCTCCTCCTCCTCCTCCTCCTCCTCCTCCTCCTCCGCCTCCTCCTCCTGCCCCTCCTCCTCCTCCTGCCCCTCCTCCTCCTCCTCCCCCTCCTCCCCCTCCTCCTCCGCCTCCTCCTCCTCCTCCCCCTCCCCCTCCTTCTCCTCCTCCTCCCCTCCTCCTCCCCCTCGGCCATCCCCTCTCAAGCCACGGGGGGCCCAAGGCTTGGTCCCCTTGCTCCCTCGATGCAGGCGGCGAACGGACGGCGCCAGGGCCTGCTGCTTGAGCAGAGGCCGCAGAAGCGGCCTGCTGCGAAGGTGGGGTTCAAAAAAGACGGTTGGCGATGAAGGACGCCAGCCTGCCGCCCACGGGCGAGAAGCCGCTCGCGGTGGTCAAGTGGGGCGGCCTGGCCTGGAAGTTGCGTTCCACAGCCACGCGGCCTTAGACAGGCTCATCGACGGGCTGCTGCATCTCGGGCGAGCGCCCACTTCGACATCGGTTTCGGCGGCCTTGCGCCCGACGCTGCAGGCGAGGAGGCTAAGACGAAGGCCGAGGGGAAGGGCCAGATCTACGACATGACGAGGCAGCACGTGGAGCTGGGGATGCAGCTCCACGAGAAGAGCTACCACACCTCGAAATCGGGCGGCGACACGATCAACTTGCAAAAGCACGTGAAGCGCATGGTTGAGGGTCAGAGCGACATCTGCGACAGCATGGGCGAGAGCGGCATGATGCCGGCCGAGGCGCCCTTCGGGGAGAAGATGCGCAAAACGAATTGGGAAGTGATCTACATGACCGACCCGCTGGGCGAGAGAGCCTGGAAGCAGCTCAAGCAGTAGGAAGGCAAGAAGCTGCCATCGACCAAGAAGTTGTTCGAGCAGCCGGAGTGGAACGGCATGCGTTCGCGCATCCACAAGCTGGCGAAGAAGGTCAAGGAGAACCTCACCAGACTGGAGGAGCACGCGGACAGCAGGCGGACCCTGCTCTGGCGATGCCATCCTCTCCCACGATCGTGCCGCAGCCAACGGACGAGGAGGAGGAGGAGGAGGAGCAGGAGGAGGAGGAGGGGAGGCAGGCGGGGAGGAGGAGGAGGAGGAGCGAACGAATCCGATGGGAGGCCTCCCAGCGTTTAGGCGTTACGCGGAGGAGGAGGAGGAGGAGGAGGAGGAGGAGGAAGAGGAGCGCACGTAGCTTGAATCCACAGTGACGGAAGAGGAGGAAGAGGAGGGGGAGGGGGAGGATCGATCGATCGAGCTGTCGGGCCGCTGTCGGGGGTGACTCCTTCTCTACGCTAGAGCAGAGTGGCGGCAAAAAATCTAGCACGGCCTAGCTGGGTTCACTTTATTGACTGGGGGAGCAGGTGCCAGGAGACACTCGGGCCCTTCCCGCACCGTTTACCTCACGCGGGGGCCTCTGGGCGGGGTAGCACCCGCCCTCACGGGTGCTATCTCGCCTGCTGCCCGCTTGCGGTTGCTTGCCTCGTTGCGAGGGAGAGGAGGAGCGGGTGGAGGAGAGCGACCACGTATCGAGGTTTGGCCTCACTCCGCCTCGGCTCTCTGTGTCGCTCGTGCTCTCGGTTTCGCTCTGCTTCTCGTCGTCGCTGTCCACGTCTCCCTGCATTACTCCGTGTGGCCCGATCAATCTCACGATGTGTCCGTCGCCGTTTTTCCGAAGACTCGGATGTTGGTCCACGCCGCGACTGTCTCCTCGAGCCACTCGTCGAGCCTGGCGTACAGCCACGACCCCTTGACTGCGCAGCCCTCCGCCATGCGCATCGCCACGATGTCGTATACGAGGTCTGGGAACCCGCTCGGGATCTCGTCCCCGTCCTGGTCGTCGTAGTACCAGTTCGCTGCGTTCGGGGTGTCCAGCGCCTCCGCCTGGTCAGTGTAAGGGGCGTCTCGATTATCTTCGCATTGCCGCTTGCCCAGCGTCGCAGTGCAGTCCTTTCTATATTCGCGCCCATGCTTGTCCAGCGTCGCGTCCTGGTCGTCGCAGTTCGGCTGCTTCTCGTGCGTCGTGGTGTCCTTCTTGCTCCGCTCCTTCTCCTGGTCTGCGACGCTCGGCTGCTCCTCGCAGGTCGTGGTGGCCTGGGTGCTTGGCAGCTCCTCCTGGTTAGCAAAATTCTCCTCGTCTGTCGCGGTGTGCGTGCCCAGCGCCTTCTCCGGGTCTGCGAGGCTCTGTTGCTCCATCTTCTCGTCCCCTGACTTTGAGGCGCGGTAGTGCCTCGGTTCCTCGACCTCGCGGCCGACGAAGACGTCGGCGGGCGCCGTGGGGAAGTCCAGGTGATGAGGATCCTCGTGCACGTCCTGCTTGTGGTAGTTGCCATACTGTTCGTAGATCTTCGTGTAGTCGTCCCTCTTCTCGGCGATCTCCGCGTGCATCTCCAGGCAGTGCTTCACGTCCTCGTGGTCCACCCCGTCGTGGGCGAAGCTCAGCTGCCCCTCGTAGTTCCTGGTGGCCTGGTTGCTCGGCAACCCGTCCTGGTTAGCGAAGTTATGTGGCTTCTCGTTCGTCTTGGTGTCTGCGAAATACTTCGTCGGAGTGTCCGTGTTGCGCGGCGTCCCGTTCTGGTTGTCCGAGTTCAGTTGCTTCTCGTGCGTCGTGGTGTCCTTCGTGCTCTGCTCCCCTTGGTCCTGCGTGTCGGGGAGAGCTGGGTCGCGTCCGAGTCCAGGTGGCGGTCCCATTTGGAGTCGGCGAAGAATGTCCAGAGACGCTTGTTGCGACCTCCTGGCATCCGTGCAGCGGGCACGGAGTCGTCGTAGCTGGCTTGACGTCGGGCGGAGGCATTATTGGGTCGCACCTGCGGGCGGCACGCGAGAGAACCTGTCCTTGCCGAACCATGCCGTTGTTGCCATGCGGGCCTCCGCCCAGTCACGCGTTCCTCCACATGCTGTGGAATGGCTGGGTGTGAGCGCGCGCTGCCCTGACAATCTCTTAGGCCCAGATGGCAGCTGGAGGAAGAGGAGGAGGAGGACAAGGAGGAGGAGGAGGAGGAGGGGGAGAACGAGTGCACGTAGCGAGGAGACCGGCCGCGCCTGGAAAGTGGTTCACCCGGCTGCCCGGCTGGAGCCGCAGGAGCTTCGCGTGCAGCTTCTGGCGGTCCACGGGCACGACCTGGGGTCCGGGTCTGAGGCCGCAGAGGGGCCTCCTCGCTCCCGTCCTCCCCCTTTGGGGGCATCGCGAAAGGGGCACAGGAGGCCTCTTCCTCCTCCTCCCCCTCCTCCTCCTCCCCCTCCTCCTCCTCCTCCTCCTCCTCCTCCTCCTCCTCCTCCTCCTCCTCCTCCTCCTCCTCCCTTCTCCGTTCTTTGTCCATGTAAATTGCTCCTCCCTGTCGCACCCCGGGACGTGTCGGTGGGCCGGGCGCCTGAGACTTCGTTCGCAAGAAGTTGACGGGTGGAGGACAGCTCCTTGTCAAAGTGTGGCTCTCGCCCTAGCGCCGCGACCATTCCCTCTCAAAAGTTTGCAAGAGCTTCACGGCTTCACGGATGAAGGGCGGGTCGTCTTCAAAATGACTCTCTCGCCCCGGCGCAAAGCACATTCGCTGTACAAGTTGGCAGAAGCTTCGCGGGCTGTCAAAAGCTCCTTTTCAAAACGCACCTCTCGCACCAACGCCGCACACATGCGTCGAAAAAGTTTGAAATAATTTCACGGATAGAGGGCGGGCCCTTTTCAAAACGTAGCTCTCGCCGTGGCGCCGCGCACATCGATCCAACAAAAAGTGCACCAGTTTCACACATGAAAGACGTGTCGTTTTCAAAACGTGGATCTCGCCTTAGCGCCGCGCACATTCCTCACAACAGTTCGCAACAGTTTCACGGGTGGAGGGCGATTCGTCCTCAAAATGTGACTCTCGCCTGAGCGCCGCGCACATCCGTCTTTGAAGTTTGAGAGAGCTCCCAGGATGAAGGGCGGCTCATTTTCAAAAATGCGGTTCTCGCCTCAGCGCCTCACGTCTCAAAAGTTTACAACAATGTGCTGTGTTCTTATGGCTGATGTCCCAGACATGGTGCTCCGGCACGACTGAGAAAAATCAGGGCGCAACAGTCACGTTGATTCGCTGTGTTGAAGTCACAGGGATGATGCCCTGGCACGATGCACGATCGTCAGGACGCAACGACCTGTTGACCCGCTGCGTTGAAGTCCACGGAGTGGTCCCATGGCACGATTGAGGATTCTCAGACGTGCGTCTTACAACGCTGCATTTCCAGCAGTGGACACAAATTCTCGTAGGAACCTATGAGGAGGGAACTCGGAGGGAGTGCTCATTGCAACATCGTTGATGCACCTTAGGTGCACACTGGTTCTCCTCATCCTAATCCTGTTGCATGTCCTCCTAATCCGTCTCTTACCTTCCCTCGTCTTCGTACTTCCCTTCACCCTTCAGCATCATCATCATCATCATCATCATCATCATCATCATCATCATCATCATCATGATCAGCATCAGCATCAGCATCAGCATCAGCATCAGCATCATCATCCTCGTCATCATCATCACCACAACCACCACCATAATCACCACCACCATCACCCTCGCCATCGCATCACCGTCACCATCACCATCACCATCACCATATTCATGATCAGTACCACCCGCACCAGCATCATCAAACTCACCACCATCATCGTCATCAAGATACTCCCAAGGATAGCCATCCTCACCACCATCCTTAGCAGCATCAGCATCATCAGCAGCAGCATCATCATGGCCATCATCAACAACACTTCCTCCACCACCTACTCATTATGCTCCTCACCCTCCCCATTCCACTCTCAATCCTCCACACCCGTCGGCAGACTTAGCAAGGGGATTGCTCAGGCATTGAGGTTAAAGACTGGAACTGTGGTTGCCAACGTCGTTTGCTAAATTCTGGCTGCTTCAATGCCAACATCATGAGTGTTGTTCCAAATTACTGCTCGTCAAAGCATGCTTCCTTCGAGGTTGGTAGCGGCAGGTTCTCGATGCTGAAGTGCTCTTCCCGGCACGACTGGCATGTTTTCAAGACAGAGCATGATGTAATGCCGTATCCCTCAAGCTGTAAACAGGTGAGGGAGGGAGGAAAGAGGGGAGAGGAATGTAGGGAGAGAGACAGACACACAGAAAGGGAGGGAGGGAGACAGTGAGGGAGACAGATAGACGATCAACGTCGCCGACGACATCGTCAATACCGTCGTCGCCGTGGTCACCTTTGTCGTCGGTATCATCGTCGTCGTCAATGTCACTGCGGTCGTAACCACTGCTGGGCGCTGACTATCCGCGCGTCCTGGCCCCCTGGACGCTGAGACCGCCGACGACTGCGCGGTCCAGGCAGGCTCAACGTACGAGGCAGCGGGGCACAGGGGGTGTATCTCTTTCTCTCTCTCTCTCTCTCTCTTTCTCTCTCTCTCTCTCTCTATATGTATGTCTCTTTCTCTCTCTCTCTCTCTTCCTTTCTCTTTCTCTCTCTCTCGCTCTCTCTCTCTCTCTCTCTCTCTTTCTATCTTTCTCTCTCTCTCTCTCTCTCTCACCCAGCAGGGCTGCGTGCCCCAGCGCTGGTGTTTGGCCAGGGCCAGAGCTGCTCTGCAGAGGGCGGTGCTGGGCAGAGTGTCAGGTAGTGGCACACAGTGCGTCTCAGAACTCTTGCGAATGCTCGGCAGCGTTGCTTGCGAAGCCAGTCTCGGATGGTTGAGGAATCAGCTGGATTCCCAGAATTCCACTCCAGCCTAGTCTCTCTCTCTCTTTCTCTTTCTCTTTCTCTCTCTCTCTCTCTCTCTCTCTCTCTCTCTCTCTCTTTCTGTACCAGCATAATTTGGTAGATACACACAAGCATATAGACATACACGCGCATGCAGAATAGCAGCGGCGGCAAGCAGACGGGCCAGGCCATGAACTGAGAAAAAACCGGATGGGGAGGATAACCTTTCTCCCGGCGCAACTCTGATCCATGCTGCAGTCCTGCGTCGTGCTGACAGCTAGCCTCAGGACTGCGAGCGTTCCTCCTTGGACGGGACGACCAACAGGGAGATCGGCGCGTGACTCCTCCACCGTGAGGAGCAAGCCTTCGCAGGCAAGCTCCAGGCCTGCAACATCTGCCAGGCCATCCCGCGTTGCGCACCCCTCGGGCACTCCCAGAACAAGGGCGACCACACCACCAGGCGCCGCTGCACGGATGACCCCTGCCCGCCCCCCGGGAGCTGAAGCGGGCGCCGTGCTCGGCACCGACGTCGGCGACCAAGGAAGCGCCATGGCCTCGGCGGGCACGGCCACGGCGGGCACGGCCCCTGCGGGCACGGCCGCGGCGCGGGCACGGCCGCGGCGCGGGCACGGCCGCGGCGCGGGCACGGCCGCGGCGCGTGCACGGCCGCGGCGCTCGCGCGCGCCCGCGGCGAGCACGGCCGCGGCGGGCGCGGCCAAGGCGCGCACGGCCGCGGCGCGCGCGGCCGCGGCGGGGGCGGACACGGAGGGCACGTGGCCACGGCGGGGCCCAGAGCCCCTCCGCGGCGGGCTCCAGCTCCCCAAGTGCTCCCAACTTCGCGCTTCGCGCTGCGCGAAGCGCGAAGCGCGACTAACTTCGCACTCTCGCGCCGCCTCCCAAGAGAGAAGAGGAGGATGAGGAGGAATCCGAGCCGAACCGCGAAGCGCGAAGCGCGAATAACTTCGCGCCCTTGAGGGCGCCCTTGGCTCCCAGCCCACCTCCGCACACGCGCCCTGGAAGAGACACGCGCCCCGGAGCCCAGTTCCAGCCGGAAGGGCACCCTACCGAGAGGTCTTCGTCGGAAGGGCATCGAGGAGAAGGAAGCCCCGTGGAGGGGCTGCTGCGCCGGACCTGGGCCGCGGAGGAAGCGGGATCCGGCGGGACTGAGCGGGAGCGAGCGGGAATAGGCCGGATGGAGCCGGATGTCGGACCAGGACAAAGTCAGCATTCGACCTCCCGGGAGTTGCGTCCGACCACAACCCAGCACTCCAGGGAGAACAGCGCCAGGACGATGGCCAGGCAGAGCACCACAGGCCACGCCACGAGTAGAGGAAGAAAAAACACATACACATAAACGTTTGGCGCTCCGCGGACTTCTTGGATCCGCGCTGGGACCCCCTCCCCGGGGCGCACCGCGCGCCAGGGGAGGCGCCGGAGGCGCCGCCGGGGGGGTCCAGCGCGGATCCAAGAAATCAGCGCGGAGCGCCAAAAGTTTATGCTTATGGCGCTCTCTCTCCTTGGCGGCGCGCAGGGGGGGGTAGGGGGAGGGGGAAAGGCTTCTTAGAAGCACCCCTGCTTCTTAGAAGGTGCGGGCCTTCTCTGTGGATGTAACAGGCTGGCGCCTTCTAAGAAGCAGCCTCCTTCTAAGAAGCCTTCCCCCCTCCCCCTACCCCCCTCGCGCGCCGCCAATCTCCCCAGACCCCCGACGCCGTGATTTTTTCGCAACGTCGACCCCCAGAAGTCTGGACCCTTTCCCCGGGACCGGTTTTCCATTCTGAGCCGTTTCTTCACGGTCCCGAGGCCCGGTGAGGACCTCCCGAGGGCGAAAAAATAGCGAAAAACCTCCCGTCGTGATTTCTTCACGACGCGAGGGGGTCTGGGTCCTTCGAACGAGGCACTCAGACCACGTCTCCAGAGGCCACGCCTGCCGGCCCAGCGCAGCTCCTCCCCGCCCCGCGCAGCCCCGGGGCGCCCCACCCCGGCCGCGCCGGCGGCCCCGGGGCGGAGAAGCCGCCGCCCCGCTCCCTGGCGGCGGCCGCCCCCGCGCCGGCACCCTGCGGACCCTGACCTTCCAGGAGGGCTAAAAAATAGCACCCGACCTTAAAACCTATCCCAGAGCTATTCTACGTCTTGGTTTTAGGCTGTTTCGTTTAGTTTTTTAGGTTTTTAGGTCTCCAGTGCTAAAAAATAGCTCTCTGGAAGGTCAGCGGAGGCCTGGAAAATTAGATCCCCCGAGATCCTGGCGACTTCCCCGAGAGCCGACGCTCCCCCAAAAACTGGGAGCGGGCGGTTTGGGGCAGTCCTCGGCCCTTGGGGGGGCCGTCGCCGGGCCTTTGGGAGCGTCAGAGAACGGCTCCTCGGGACGAAAAACTGGTCTTTGGTTCAAATTATATGAAAAAACATATTTGTTTTGATTTTATTAGTTTTTGAAATTGGAACCAAAAATTTAATTCTTACCAACAAAAATGTTTTAACAAACAAAAAAAAAACAACAAAAAAAAATGGCCCAGACCTCCCAAGTCCACGCACCAAACAAATTGGAGCAGCCGGATGTCTGGGTCAGTGTTTTCGAGCTGGGCGTTTTCGCAACTTCTCAGACCCCATCACCCTCTCAGATCGATCCGGGTCGAAAAATCAAGCAGAAAGACGGGGTCCGGGGCTCCGGGCGTGCTTTCTCGCGACGCAACAATTGTTTCGCAACGTCGGACCTCAGGGATGGGCACCAGCACCAATCCACAGCGGGGTGCCTCCACCAGAGGAAGATGATCCTAGATGCTGGCGCTGGTGGTAACAATTCAGCCACCCAGGAAGCCCGAATAGGACCGTCACCGAGATCGGGGCCATCTTCCTTCGGTGGAGGCACACCGCCGATATTGGTTGTTCCCTGAGGTCCGACGCTGCGTAGAAATTGCAATACCGCGACATCACGCCCGGAGCCCCAGTCCCCATCTGTCTGCGCCCTGTTTCGAGCCAGATCGATTTGTGAGGGGACAGGGAGCCGCAACCTGGCGGAAACGCCGGATGCAAAAAAATGCGACGACAGGATGTCAGGGTTGGTGCCAACGTCAGGGCCTTCTGTGGCCTCACGGGAGCCTCCCATGTCATCTTGCTGGCTCTAGCGGCTCGACGCTAGCCGACGCTGATCGACGCGAATCGACGCGCATCTCCGCTAGATCGACGCTAACTGAGCGATTTTTGGGTGCAGGGCTGAGGCCGAAATCCATGCGGACGCTTGCACCTCGAAGATCCATTCGGGGGGCTGGCGGCTTGCAGGACGAACCGCGTGTGGTGTATCGGCATGCATGCGCGCAGCGTGGGGCTTCCACAACTACACCATCGCGGCGCTTCGTCACAGGGATGAAGAATGAAGTCTTTCCGTGGCCTTCTGGGCCCCTCGCAGGAGCGATCGCGTGGGGTCCTTTGAGCACGTCACTGGCGCCCGATTGGTGAACTAGCATGCAAAAGTCGCCCAACAGGTGAATGAGCACGATCAAGTCGCCCGACAGGTGAATTCAGAATTATATAACCACCTTTCGGATTCTAGCTTCCTTTTTCGTTCTAGAATTGGTTTGGGCGCTAGAAAGCTATGTTGTGTCTGCGCTTGATACGCTATGGTATTATAGAACTTGGCTTTGCTAGCTAAAGCATCATTAGTGGCAGTTCTATAATTTGCGTGTGCGTTCTAGATTTCGTTTCGCCGTTCTAGAATTTCTCTTTGGCAGTTCAGGAAAAACGCACATGATGGCGGTCGCGCTTGCAGGGCCTCATCTCTGAGTGCGACGGGAGGCGGGCTTGATTGGAGCCTGGAATGGCCCTTCGTGCGATCGGGCGCTGCGTCCGCTCGGCGCGAGCTTGCGTCGGCGCAGAATGTCCCGCTTACCCCGCGGCTGCAACTTGCCCGCAACGGTCTTGTGGAGGAAACCGATGGGCGGCGATCATTTGGGCCAAACCGCATGGTGGATCCCACCTGATGCCCTCCACGCTCCGCCCACAGAAAATGTTCGGGCGAATCGACAGGAAACCAGTGCCCTCTCGTCGATTACCGAGCGCCAGCGCACGCTATCGGAATGGCGACCACGACCAAGAATGAGGGCGGAAGCGCCGTGACGATCTTGGTCACCGTCGCTCTTGGCCAGCGCCGCTTCGTGGACCCTCCTCGGCGACAGCCGACGCAGACTATGACCGCGGTCGGCATCGACAGGATCCAGCGACATCCTGGTCATGGTCCCCGTGCCTCTGCCCGCCGCTGCGGCGCTCTCGCGACGAAGCTCCGAGGACATGCTGGGCCCCCACGGGCTGCAACCGAACAGACCTCCGAGCCCAGCACCTGGAGAAGCCAAGAGGTACCGATACCGCTCGGCATCGCTGATGCATCGGCGATATCCTCCTCCTCCTCCCCCTCCTCCTCCTCCTCCTTCTCCTCCTCCTCCTCCTTTCCTCTACTCTCCAGACCTCTCCCGGGGTGCGTTCTGACCAGAACTTCGAGGCGAATCCAGCGGTGGCGACGAAGGCATCGCAGGAGGCCCAGAGAGGCGAAAACGAGGGAAAGGTGGGGGTATGGGTAAATGCCTTCTCCTCCTCTGAGCTCCCGCGGAGAAGATCGGGCTCCACATCGAGCCGCAAAAGCGATACATCGGCGATGCGGCGCGATCCTCCCGCCCGACCTAAGTACTCAACTCCAAGACATGCTACGTCCTGATTGCTTCAGTACGGCGTCCCCGGAAGCCCCGACCCTTTTCACAGCAGCGGCTTTTCGGCCCGAGTCGTCTTTTGAGATCCCCGCTTCTGCGCTCGCCAGGGTCGCTGGGAAAGGTGGCGTGGCCACCAGTGCCGCCCACGCCATGGGCGGATGGTGGAACGCCGTGGCTCTGGATGCTCCCCCCGCCGCGGCCATCGCCCAGGTCGTTTGGCGAGATGGTGTGGCCATCGCTGAGCAAGATGGCGGGGCCACCGCGCTCCCGGGGCCCGGCGAGGGCCCACAGGGGCCGAAAACACCGCCAAACCTCCCGTCGCGATTCTCGCCACGACGCCAAGGGGGTCTGGGGAGGGGGGAGACGCAGGCAGACGACGACCGACCCGCCGGAGCAAGCCTCCGAGCCCAGCTCCGGCCGCCCTGGCGACCACACGGCGGAGCCTGGAGAAGCCAGGAGGTAGCGATGCCGCCACTCCCCGGAAAGCTCCCGGGGTGTATGGCCTGAGCGGAACTTCGAGACGAACCCGAAGAGATGAGTTGTTCGATCCTGCGTTTTTTCCTGGATTTCGGCCTCCAGGGCCCGTCATTGGGCCCGGGGACCATCAAAAATGGATACGCGACGAAAAACCACCCCCGGGGAAAGGGTCGGGACCTCTGGGGCCGCGGACTGAACAAATCATATCGGTGGACGTCTGGGAATCCAGCGGTGGCGACGAGGGCCTCCCAGGAGGCCCGAAAAGGCGAACACGAGGGAAGGGCAGCGGTATGGAAGAGTGACCCTGAGCAAGAGTGACCTCTGGAACGCGGACTAGGGGGGGACGCAAGGTGGCCAAATCCAAGCGCGCAAGCAGCCGCTACCGCATCGCGCTCCACGATCGGGGGGAACCCGATGAGCCCGCACCAAAGGTCACTCCGGCGAAGGGTCACTCTTTTGAGGGGCAGCGACGGGGGGGACTGGCACAGGATGCGTCGACCTGGAATCGGCGATACATCGCCGACAGATCGGCGATTGGCCCCCGATAGCAAACCCGCACCGTCCTGGGCAGGTTGGGGACATCGGGCCCCCATCGGCGATCCATGGACGACTGGGGGTCGACGCATCCCCCCCTATCCCCGTCCCCGGAGGTTTTCGGGCCACAACTCGGGCCTCCGGCGGCCGTTCGGGATGATCCAGGCGCCCCCGAAACGCCCTCGGCGAGGCGCAGCTGCTGGAGAGCATCCCGAGGCTGAAAGACCGCCGAGAGGCCGACGAAGTCGCTCGACCACCTCGCAGCGCAACCCCTCGCCCCTCGTCCCCGAACCTGCACACGCCCACCGCTGCCCTTGCCCCCGACCTGGCGCCCGGCCGCTCTCGGGAGCGGCCAAGAGGGGGGCGTCCAAGAAGGGGGGGTGCAAATCATGACCGGCGGCACGTGCGCGGCCCAGCGGGGGGGCCAGGGACGTAATGAAATAAGGAGAGGCGCCATGAAATCTGGGGAAATCTCATGGCCCACGCCATGATATCCACCCCCCCCCCTAGTCCTCACCCCCGTCTTTTCCGCCCCCGACGCTCTCTTCCTCCTCCGGAGAGCCGCTGCCCCGCCCGCGCGCCGCGGCCGCCGCCGCGCCCGGCCGCAGGGCGGAGCCGGGCGCCTCGCGGCGGGGGCGCCCCGGCGGCCGGGCCCGTGGATGTCTGGAGGGAGCCCCCCCCCCGAGAGGGAAAAGCGGCCCTCAGAAGGAGCACCCCGACGAGCAGAGGAAACGGGAGAGGAGGAGGAGGAGGAGGAAAGGAGGAGGAGGAGGAGAAGGAGGAAGGAGGAGGAGGAGAGAGGAGGAGGAGGAGGAGGAGGGAGGAGGAGGAGGAGGAGGGAGGAGGAGGAGGAGGAGGAGGAGGAGGGGGAGGAGGAGGAGGAGGAGGAGGACTCGCAAGGAAACCACCCAAAAGAAAAGCGGCCCTCACAAGAAGCACCCCGAAGAGCAAAGGAAACGAGGAGGAGGGGGAGGAGGAGGACTCGCAAGGAAACCACTCAAAAGAAAAGCGGCCCTCACAAGAAGCACCCTGACGAGCAAAGGAAACGAGGAGGAGGAGGAGGAGGAGGAGGAGGAGGAGCGACCCGCGTTCAGAGGGGGGGAGAGGGAGGCCCCAGTCCTTCACAGCCAGAGAGCAAGCTCGCGCGCGGGGCTCGCCTGGGAGATGGCCGTACACTTCACGACCGTCCCGAGCCCGCCGCTCCCACACCGGCTCTGGCCAGTGATTCGGCAACCCGCGATCGACGAACCTGGGTTCGGATACGAGCACGAATGAGTCCCACAGTACACACAGGCGAGGGGGGGGAGCACGAGGACCGAATGGACTGGAAGGCAGAGTGCAGACAGTCAATGGCCAGGCATGCCGGCAGAAACTCATCACGATTCGGGGGGAGGAGGTGGGGGAGGAAGGACGCATATGGGTCGACTCCGTAGTCTTCTGGGAGAAGTCGATATCCGTGTTTCACAGCACCAACAGCAATAGGGCATGCCATATAATGTAATATTTCATCCCCGCCCATAGCTTGGCACCCGAAACGACACCCAACAGCTCCACTACGATAACGCCTGGTAGTGTTCCACGAGTTAAAAATGGTTTTTAGGCAGGCAGTGGCGACGAAGCCAGGGAGTTTCGTACCCAGACTATACAAGCGCAGGAAAGCCCGATCAGCGCACTCCATAGGACAGCGAGGGATCCACTTCGCAATCCGAGGGCATAGGATAGAGGCGATTGGCGGCATGGGGTTGGACAAAATCAGCTGCTTAGATATATTTGCTTGAACTCTATTTGTTGGTATTTCACCTGGCTGGGGTTGGATGCGATAAAAACTCTCATGCGCTTCCTTCACCTGCATGAGTATCGAGTGCTGGGTCATGATCTTGAAACGCCATGCCACACAGCACTCATCAGAGTCAGCCCAGAGATCTAGCAGCCTTGAGTAGAAAAGGTAGCACGTGCTACGGGTCGCGGTACGAATCACACAGGCACGGGCGAATATTTCCAGCCTCCTAGCTTCCACTTGGTGCCCAAGCATTCTCGGGTTGAACAGGGACATCGGTGGAAAACTGTGTCTGGGGGAACATGTTAGCAGTTAAAGCCCATCATTTTCCACCGACCGTGCTCTGGGAGGAGGAGCATGCACCTGCGCAGCGCGAGCAACGACGGGAAGCCCGTACAAGTTGTACGCGGCCACACTACTGGAAAGCCCCAGGCCCAAGGACTTGATTCTCAAACACCGTTCTTTAAGCTTGGCCAGGATGGGATCCCAGGATTCTTCTGCACCAACAATGCCCACTCCCACTCCGAGATACCACCCACACCTTGAAACAACAAAGCGATGAACCTTAATCCCCGCCTCCCTACATATGGAAATCGCCTGGGTACACGTCGCCGCGTCAGGGAAGACGAGCTGGCACTTCTTAAGGTTCAGAGACAGACCAGTAGCCCTCCCACTCTGCACCATGATCTTACAAATGCGTGGCAATACCGCCACAAGATCGGATGCTGTCGCGGCAAGGTCGTCGGCGAACGCATTATACGTGACCGCAGCCTGAAGCGAGACACGCTGCAGCCTTCGCACTACAGGGTCGAAGCAGAGACTAAATAATAAACCACTGAGCGGACACCCTTGTTTAATACCACGACATAGAAGGATATAATACGGATCAGAGTTATTGAACTGGACTACCATGCGACTATTCTCATATAAGGCCATAATACTGTGTACAATAAATTCAGGAATACCATATGCACGGAGAATCGCCCACATATATATATATATATATATATATATATACATGGTTAATGCTGGGGAAGGCAGCCTCCAGGTCGAACATGGCAGAGCCTGCTCGACGGCAGTCACAAACAGAGTGCGCGAGCATCATATTGGCGTCAACCTCAATCATGTTGTCAACCATCTGCCTGCCGTTAAGGAAACCTTTCTGGACGCCCTGGACCAGGTCACTAGCAACCATGGAAAGGGTCCAACCGATGCTTGCACTCACTAGTTTGTTGTCCGCACTCGAAAGCGAAAGCGGCCTAGTTTCATCGGCGCCACGGGTGATGGTCTCACCCTCTTGTGAGTTCCCCTTGGGCAAGAACGCAGCCGCACTGTCGGTGAAGTTGGGCGGCAAAGACTGGTGGTCGACAAGCTCGCAATAGACGGCATATAGGCATCCCACTCCAATCTCCCCAGACGCTCTCCACGCAGAGTAAGGAATACCATCAGGCCCAGGACGCGAATCCGATTTTTTGCCCAGGATCTCCGCAAAAACGACCTCAGGAATAGTCCAGGGATAAATCGAACCAGAGGCAGAGACATACTGATGTGGGTCGTCAGGAATGGGCGTAATCATTGACGAAAGCGAGTCAATCATCGTCCTATCCACCTCACGAGCACGAAAGAGACCAGTCCAGTGGTCGGCCAATAAGCGGGAGCACTCATTCGGATCGCTGTGGGCCATGCCGTCAGCGTCCGTCACCTGCTGGAGAAAAATCTGGCGACCAGATTTCCTCCAGGCCTGACAAAGCCGACGGATGCGAGCAAGGGCTTGCGCGGCACGGGCTCCACCACCGCCCCCATCGGCCTCCGCTCGAGCAGAGGCTTCGCGGGCACGAAGGTTCTGGCGCATCAGGTCGGCAAAAAGCACGTCGAATCCTGAGCGGTCAGTCCACCACAGCTCCTGGGGATCAGGATACCTGCAGAGATCGGGAAATCCATGGTGGCCCTTCGAGATCTCACGGAGGCCCCCACCCCGAGCACCCCTAAGAACACACACCATACACGCAAGTTGTTCTTCAACGGATCTGGCCCCCTTTTCAAACGCCCAGTCCTTGACGCGCTGCGCGACGAATCTCATAACCTCTTTAATTTCCAGAAGTCGGGTAGCTGGCACCTCCGAGAGCTCCTCTGGATCGAGAATCTCCTGGAGTTCGATGCTGAACTGTGCGTGTTTGCTACCCCAGCTAAGAATTCTGGTAGCTCCCGAGGGGGTCCACGAGGCAACCGAGAGGAACACTGGACAGTGGTCTGAGGGGGCCTTGATGTCCGTAATTGGCTATAACGTCCCCGTACGCGGGCACCAATCTAATATATCTTGAGACGCCAAAGTAGTATAGATACGGTCCAGTCGTGCAAACGAGACTTGGGAGGAAGGTCCCTCAGCGCCCCCCAAGCGCCGAATGATCCTGCGCGTGTCCCTCTCCTGTACAACCTCTCCAAGCTGGCCGAGCGCTGCAAGAAAATGGTTAGCTAGCCGCGAGCCGACTGGGCCATCCAGGCCAGTATCTGCGTGCAGCCGTGATTCCCCTGGAGCCAGAAAATTCCAATCACCCATGACGAAACCGAGCGAAAGCGTGGACGGAAGTAGGGTGCGATGGATACGCGCGAACATCCCCCTGACCTCCCACTCCTGCCAATCAGGGACAACATGCACGTTGATTATCTGGAGACTCCCATGAGAACCTTGGAGAAGGAGAGAGGCAATACGACCAGCACAGAGCGGCTCGAGCTGCACCGAGGTAAACTTTGCCAGCAGACGTCGCGAGACGAAGAACAGTAGGCCACCAGCAGCGGCGGACGCGCAAAAGGAACCGAACGGCTTGTGGGACTTGTAATCTTTTTCCAATTGATCAAGGTCTGCTTCAATACCACGGGACCCCTGAATACACACCACCTCGTTTTTGTCGAGCAGTGTTCTCAGACGCCTGAATTTTTCCCGGATAACATTTTGGCACGTGAATACCGATCCTAGAAGAGTCTGAACGTTCCAGGAGCACACGCTGAGCCGTTGACCCACTGCATAGGGACGAGCAAGGAGGGGAGGAGAGGGAAACTGACTGCCTGGCAACTGAAATTGACTGCTGATATCTATCACTGCTGCTGCTGCTATCCGAATTATCAGATGACTCAGAGCCTCCAAACGAGGCTGGAGAGAGAAGAAGAAGAAGAAAAAAAAAAAAAAAAAAAAAAAAAAAAAAAAAAAAAAAAAAAAAAAAAAAAAAAAAAAAAAAAAAAACTGCTGGCCTCATGAGGCGACCCCTCCGCCTCAACAGGACCACCGTGCCCTGCACCCCTATGGTCACTACGAAGGTGCCCTGGCTGCGCATCTCACAGCTGTGCTCGCACCTGCTCTATGATGGCTGACGCCTTCTCAGCACTAATCCCCCACTCCGCCACTCCGCGAGCTCCTCATGGATCGGGATGAACTCCACATCAGCCTTCGACTTGTCCTTCGCTGCGACGATCTCCCAGACGCCGTCCTCATCACGTACGAGGAGGACCCCCTTGAATCCGTTCACTCCCAGGCGGCAGGTAGGTCCCCACTTGGGGCTCTTCCTCAGCTCCGCCAGGAAGGACTCGTAGATGCCGAGAAAGGCCCTTTGGCGCATCCTCACATCCACTGGCAGATCTGCACGGCAGCGAATCGATGAACATTTGTGGGTACGATCGTCCAAGAAGTCATGACTTCCATCCTCGTTGTACCTCTGCTGGAATGCCTTGGCTGCGACAGCGGTCGGGAAGGTAATCTTGTAGCTCTGCGATACCCCGTGGAAAAAGGTGGCGACGCCTTGCAGCAGGTGGCCATAGCGCGGCAGCACCGTCTCGTTGTAGTGCTTCTCTCTG